TTTTAGGATTTTTTATTTTTTTCATAGAAGCACAAAATCATACATGTTAAGCCTCAATTTACCATAACGAAGAATGGGGTGAGGGATTCTTACCCGGATCGGTGGTTCGAGATGTTGCGTTGTCTACTATGTCTCTTAACGGGTACCGAGTTTCTTAAATTTTTTTATGGAATCCAAAACACTCATCACATACCTAAAAATATCTTAAAAATCTAAAATCGATATCCAAAATTTTTTTCGGCCAATTTTGGAGTTCCGACATGGCATTGCTGCCGTACCCCGACATTGGCTCAGTTGTCCATGGTGGCGGTTCACCTCAGCCTGACTAGTTTTAGCCGATTTTGGCCGATTTTACATGTATCCCTACGAAAAAATATGTTATGGGGTCTCAGTTGATTGAAAAATCACAAAAAAGTCGAATCTACCAGCAGGGGGGTCATCGGGTGCGGCGGCTCCATTTGTCCTCCTTCGCAACTCTGATTCTTTCTTTGACTAACTTGCACAAAAAAGGATGGTGAACACAATGATCGAAAAATTACGTGAAACGGAAAGCGAGAAAGGGTTCATCAGAGGAATTTTTAGATTTTGGCCGCAGCAACGTTGCTGGACTTTGCCCATAGTTTCCAGTTCACTCGTCGTTCCTGTTGCTCCGATTCGTTACAGGGATGCTCGAAATCGAATTCTAAGTGGGTAGAGAAAATTTTTATCTTTTTTGGTAGCCGGTGGTGGCGGTCGGCGGCGGCGGTCGGCCTTCTTATCTGACGTCTGGTTCTTCTTCTCTCGCGGGGGGCGGCGGCTAGGGTTTAGGTTCCCATACGACGCAAAGTATTTATACCTATCCCGCATTGATTTGAATACTGTTCATCGCGATTGATCTTGTCCATCTAATCGTAACTAAGGAGGGAACGAATTTGAGTCGTCCACGCGCGCAGGATCGATCCTTGATCGTCCGATTACTGGACACGCAGATCGCCACGTGGCCTCCTGTGTGGCGCCGACATCAGCATGTCTTTCCATGCGGCGTGCTCCAGTTCTTCGGGGCTGCTGACTGGGCTGTCCTACGTAGCCAAATTTTTTTTTTTTACATTTTGACTTTATGTTTCTAATTTTTCTTTCAAAAACACTCTCTGAACTCAAAGTTTCACCTATTTTTTCCAAAATTATTTTCGAATACATCCCCAACCTATTTTCTTCAATAATTTAACAAAATTAAATTAAAAATTATTTATTTATTTATTTATTAAGACACCAAAATTGTTCCCTGGCTAAATTTCATCTCGAGTATTATAATTTAATATATATATATATATATATATAAGAACAGTAAACATAATTGATTTCATAATTAATTTTAGTGAGAGATAACTATAAATTTGGAGGTATACCTCTTACACTTTGACTTGGTACAAGGAGAGTCTTACAATAGTATTGAGCAACAATTACATTTATTTATTTACAAACATTACTCAACATTAAGTCCCAAGCCTTTTATTTATAGATTGTGGATTCACATTTGTTCTTCATAAGATATTCATCAACCAGTTTTGTGGTTTCAATTATACCTTCCATTAGTATAATTGGATCTGGAACTTCATCATTCAACTTCTCGAACTCGATCATATATTTCACTTCGTTTTTAGGAACGTCGTGTTGAATAATCTTTAAGTACTTGTATTCGTTTAGTAGATTTCCTGCAACCGCGTTCACAACTGCTATCTTCTTCTTATAGTTTAACACTTCTATAACTCGTCTTGAACTACGAAGCTCTCCGCCTATTTCACAAATTCAAAATATTCATAACAATAGACTAAACCATTATGTATATTTATATTATCTTTTGAGTAAATTAATTTTAAAATAAATTATTAAAATTCGATACTTGTTACAATTTAATCTAATATTTTTTTGTTTAAATAAATATAAATATGAAAGTTATAAATGATTGAGTTACATATTCTTTTCTCATGAAATAAACGTATATAATATAATATATATACATATATATATATATTTATAATTAAATTGGAAACTTACTGGGTCGAATGGTTCGAAAAAGAAGAACAGCACCCTGTTTTCCCCAGTGACCTTCAAGTAATTGAATACTTCGAATTCTTTGTGGGTTAATTTTGGGTAATTTGTAAGTTTGTTTCCAGAAAAATTCAAAGAATTCTTCACCTGAACTCTTAATCTTTACTTCGCCTTTTAAAATTTCACCACCTTCTTCTTCTTCCATTTTGTAATTTGTACGAGATTCTACACCACTTTGCTGCCTATATATACACATATATATACATATATATATGTATATACGTTCTTCTTAATATGTAGTCACGTGGGCTGATTCAATTATTGATGGTGATTAGTGATAAATTAATGTTTTTATTAATTTATTTGGTAATTATTTTAAAATTTTAAATGTAAATTTTTGTTTAACTTTAAGTTTCAATTATAGAATATATTTTTTTGGGAAGTAGCAAAATTATTTACGAATGTGGATTATTACTAACTTGATTAATAAGATTAATATATTACTTAATTTGGTTTAAATGTTCTAATAACAATAAATATTTAATCTAAATGAATATTTTTATTAAAGGGATTTATATGAAATAATAATTTATATATATATAGACAATATTTAAATAACAAATATTTATACTTCATACTAATTAAATTGAATGATATGATGTCACAATTAGTGGGAGAGATATCAATTTCGGTTTTCCTTTCATGAGATCGAACTCAATTAAAATATTACATGAATAAAATACGCAAAGAATTCGTCATTATCTGTATGGTTATTGTAACGACCCACTTTTTCTATTAGAAATGAGCGTTATTCCTCACACATAACCCGATAAATTTACATAGAACTAAGCGAAAACTTATATTCAATAATCCATGTATAGAATTATAGTCGCGAGACTTACAAATTTTTTACATTACATTGCTATATATATTAAACTGATTTACAAAAAGACTCTTACTGTCACTAAAAGTTCTTTAAAGTTTTCCTTC